GCAAGTGTTGTGAGGCTGGCACAGGACCCGGCAGTGTTTCATTCTGTTGTACATAGTGTCATTATGAGTTGGAGATGACTCAACGGCACCTAGCAACAACAACAACATTCTAAACCATAAAGCTGATCATTAAAAATTGTTTTTTTTTTTTTAATTAAACATGTGAGAGTTTGTTTATAGAATATACTTCAGAAATAGGCTTTTCTTAAGCTTTTTATGCTTTGTTTCTTTAAACAAAATTTTTTGAAAGTATTTGAAAGAAGATGATTAATAAGTTACATATTTTGCATAAAGAGTTTGATTTTTGATTTGCTGAAGATCTTTGGTGTCTCCCTGCTATTCACCAAAGGTTAACCCAATCTGTTGGCAGATATATCAATACTCTTTCTGTCATGAGTGTCATAAACCCATCTCTGTTAATTTATGCAAAAGAGGGAAAAATAGATTATGAATCTGGGAAGAAGACAAGACCTAACATTTATTTTGTACCTACTTTGTTTCAGGCAAGAGCCTATACTCTAGCTTCAGATCACCTAGTTTCTAATCCTGATTTTCTACTTTCTAGGTGTATGACTTGCAGCAAGTTACTTAGTTGTTCTGTGTCTCAGTTTCCTTATCTATGAAAAGGGCATATTATAAATACATGCTTAATGTTGTTTCATGTATTATTATCCCCTTCTTGTAGATGAGGAAACTGAGACACAGAGTGAGTAAATAATGCATACTTAATGTTGTTGCGCTCAAAAGCACACAACAAGTGTAGTAAACTTTATAAACACTTTACTTGTAACAATATTAAAACCAAAAACTAAACCCTCTACTGTTGAGCCAATTATGACTCATAATGACCATGTAGGACAGAGTAGAACTACTGAGTAGGGTTTCCTAGACTGTAAATTTTTATAGAAGCAGACTTCCACATCTTTTCCCATGGAGTAGCTGGTGGGTTTGAACCACAGCTTTTCACTTAGCTGCTGAATGCTTAACCACTATGCAACCAGGCTCCTTATAATAATATTAACTATCATTTACTCATCATTTAAGAAGTTCTGGTGGCCTAAAGCATTTGACTGCTAACCAGACAGTCTGTGGTTCAAATCCGCCAGCTGCTCCACAGAAGGACGATGGGGCAATCTACTTCCATAAAGATTTACCACCTTGGAAACCCAATAGGGATCGCTAGGAGCTGGAATTGACTCAATGGCAGTGAGTTTGGTTTAATGTTGCAAGGATTAAATGAAGTAATTTGTAGAGAAGTTATATTAATAATATTTCAGTAATTCTGATAAGATCCTTGATAAGGAAGGTATCATTTGTTCCATTTTACAGGAATAGGCTCAGAAAAGGTAATTGATTTGCCTAGAGTCTTAAAGCTAGTGGAGATAGGGCTGGCTTTCCACCTCTTTGTTAGCATGCTGTAGGTTTCAGAGCAGTGCAATGATATAATCAGAATTGTGCTTTGAAAAGATTAAACTGGTGTTGGATTGGAGTCTATGGCATTGATCTATCTAAGATGACACAGAGGTATGAGTTTGAATAATAGAAGCTAGAATAGATAGGATAGGATGGATTTAAAATATATTATCAAGATAGAGATTTTGGAACTTATCAACATAGAGTTTTAGAACTTAGTAATGTATTGGATGATTGTCCTCCCCCACCCCCCAAAGATGAGGCAAAATGTCTGTGGCAAGAATGTGTACCCAGCACAGTGCTGGTGTAAAATAGGTGCTCAGTCTCCCCCTCCCCACAGTGAATGACTGTATTAGACCATAAATGTATTAGACTATAAAATACAGTTATATGAATAATTTATTTTAGAAGGATCAGCACAAAGCTGGTTCCTATGAGATGGCGGGTAAAGATATCCCAAATATCCTACTTTTTCAAACTGCTGTACTACTCCATCATCTCTAACATCAACGACTCCTTCTTTCAGTACTCTCCCTCCTATCTTTGACTCTGCAATTCACTGCACTATCTCACAGAACTCAGGAACCATCAAGGAAATGGTTCACGTCAATGTGGAGGCTGGCAAGTCTCAAATCCATGGGTGAGGTGTTAGGCTGGAAGCTTCTTCTGACTCAATGTGGTTGCAGAGGCTGATGACATTAGTAGGTCAGATGACAGGCTGCGGGTTCACAAAACTGTGGAAGCTGACCAATCAGGTCAGATGATAGACTGGTGGCTCATGTTGCATGAACTGAGGGTCAGATGATGATGACCTGGATGCAAGATCTAGAGTAAGAGAGAGATCTTTGTCAGAGCATTATATATATATATATATATATATATATAGAGAGAGAGAGAGAGAGAGAGAGAGAGAGAGAGAGAGATATCACATGATCAAGGTGGTGCAAGGGTGTGAAGGGTGGTTATTTGAGTAAGACCTTCTAGTAAACAATGACTCAAGATACATCCCACCCTAATCCTGTCTCATAAACATAGCTGAGAATCCAAAAAATCAAACCCCAAACCACTGCTATGAGTCAATTCTGACTCATAGCAACACCAATAGAATTTCCAAGACTGTAAATCTTTATGGAGGAAGATAGTGCAGCTGGTGGGTTTGAACCATTGATCTTCTGGTAAGGAGCCAAATGCCTTCCTCACCGCTCCATCAGTGTTTCTTAACAAACTCCCAAATGAGACCATGATCACAGGCCTACAGGTACATCACAAAATGGAGGATAATTACGTCATTATATAACTGCCAAATTACATAACTGCTGAACCACTGAAACTCATGGCCCAGTCAGATGGTATATAACCATTGCAGATTTCATACACCTTATTTGTATTAGCAGCAAATTGTTCAATTCCTTTGGTGGGCCACAAGTACCTTATTTGGATAGTCCCAACCAATTATTTTGTGAAAGTCACAAGACTATGGCTACAAGGGCCATGTTAAGTAATTCACAGATTGCAGCAGGTCTAGTAGCATTGTGTTGTGGGAGGATTTAGCAGGTCTAGTAGCATTGTGTTGTGGGAGGGAGTGTGGTGGGTTTCATTTGAGGTGCACTGATCTGGAGAAGCCAGAAAAATACCAGGAGATTCCTAGCAAGCAATTGGAAATGTGAGACTAGACCTTAAGTGAGATTGTGGATTTAGAGGTAGAGATTTGTGAGTCATCTGGGAGAGTGTGGCTGATAAAGCCATGTGATAAATTGAGCCACATGGTAAATTTTTCCCATGGGGGAAATACATAGAAAATAAGAGGAACAAAGGCAGATTAGTTGGGTATGCTTTTAGAGGAAGGAGAAGAACTTGATATGCAGGCTGCTTAGAAACAGAGAGGTTAGAGGGGAGCCACACAACCCAGCAGGCAAAGAAACAAGAACGCCTATGAGGTGTTTCAGAAAGCCAAGCAGCATTGGAAGGAGAGAGGCCATGGGAACTGAAGACGAGGAAGCCATTCTTGAGCTGCTTCAATAAAGCAATGGGAAAGGAAGCTAGACTGCATTGTGAGGAATGAATAGATGGGGTTTCCAGCTGTGGGGTTCTTTTCCAGTTCTGCCAGATGTTAGACTGACTTGGCCTTTGTCAGGCTGAGTTTACAAAGTGATGATTCTTTAGTCAAATGTGCACTACATTTTTGATGAGCTCTTTGGCTCAAAATTTTATTTTCTCTTTCATTCTAATGACCAACATGGGGCCTGAGCTGATCCAAACTGGTCCTCTGTGGCCCTACACAGACCACAGAAGTAAACCAGAAGAACCAAACTCAGTGCCATCAAATTGTGACTCATAATGACCCTATAGGACTGAGTAGAATTGCCCCATGGGGTTTCCAAAGCTGTAAATCTTCAGGGAAGCAGTCTTCCTCATCTTTCTCGCATGGAGTGGTTGGTGGGTTCCAACCACTGACTTTTGGTTAGCAGCTGAATGCCTTAACCACTGAGCCATGAGAGATGTTAAGTCCATTCCAAATAAACCAAACCAAACTCACTGCTCTCAATTTGATTCCAACTCATAGTGACTCCCTTGGGTTTCCAAGGCTGTGCATCTTTATGGAAGCAAACTGCTCCATCTTTCTTCCTCAGAGAAGCTGATGGATTTAAACCACCAACCTTCTGGTTAGCAGCCAAATGCCTTAACCACTATACCACCAGAGTTCCTTGAGTGAGTGATAGAACCAGAAAAAACAGCACCATTAGAATGTTGAAATTAGGGTCTGTGATTCAGGAGATAGGGCAGTGTTGATACCTGCTTGATTGCCAATCCTCTTCCTCCATAATCAATATCTGCTGACCACATCCCCTTCTCTCTTTGTCTATTTCTGGGACCCCATTCCAGGCCATTATTACTCTCACTGAAACTATTACAGGACAGATCCCTTCCCTCCCAGTCTCTGTTCTATTTTACCTTTTATACAATCACGGTTCTCAAAATTAGCCTTCTGGAAACTTGGGTCCTATCATGTCCCTCTTCATATCGGTGGCTCTTGAATATCGTTATAAGGTTTAGAAAAGCCCGTTTACCCCATAAAAATGATTTTTAAAATTTCCTTGTGCTTTATTTATTTATTCTATCACATGCTAAGGAGCTCTGGGGGCACAGTGGTTCAAGCATTCAGCTGCTAAGCAAAGTTTAACAGTTTGAACCCATTAGTTACTCTGTAGGAGACAGATTAAGCAGTCTGCTTGCATAAAGATTTACAGCCTTGGAAACCCTATGGGGGCAGTTCTACTCCTATAGAAATGCTATGAGTCAGAATCTCTGGATAGCAGTAGGGTTTTTTTTTTTTAATGGCATGTAAACCCTTATAGAACTTTAGGAGATCTTCACCCATCCAGTCCTGCTGTCTATAAATATGAAGGCATTAGGGGAAGCAAGAAAGCATCATTTTCCCCTTTAGTTTTAGTGAAATCCATTTATTTTTCTTGATACATAAAATATATATGTATTGCTATAGATGAGGACTTTTTACTCAGTAGAATGTTACTGAGTTTATACATAATGTGTATTGAGCTTTATGGAGATACATTCATTTCTATGTGTCACTGTTCATTGTAAGAGCACTAGAAAGAAAGGGGGAAAAAAAAACTACACCATTCTTAATGCTATTTTAACAAAATGCTTTAAATTACGTTTCTTCCAGTTAATAGTTTAGAAAGAAAAATGAGGAAAGTGCATGCATTTTACTAGAATGAGCCATCAGAGATCTAAATAAATGGAGCAAATGAGTTTGTCTGAATGTTCCCATTCACATAGGATTACACATTCAAATAAAACTGTGTACATTTATTTGAATATGTAATCAAGGAGCTGAGCATAAGTGGCACTTATTTCCAAGTGTAGCATCCCTGGTTTACACATGTGGGTACCTGGGTGTGTTGCTAAAAAGCGGAAAATAGTTCTTTCTATTTGCATTTTATGCAAATTTCAAAGCTATTGCTATTGTTCATTAGCTTCATTGCTTCTCATGCACAAGGCACCTGCATGTATTAGCAGTAATTCTGTTGCCAAAGGGAAGGCTGTAGTCAAGTTTCTAAAGTAGTCTGAGCCTTTGGGAAAGTTTCTAAATTCATTCATTCCTTCATTTTCATTCAACAAATATTTACCAGTCACTGTGCTAGCTGCTGAGTTACAAAGGTATTTGATTGAAACATCTACACATTTTATAGTGCTTAGCTCTGGTAGCATAGCATAGTGTCTAAGGCACTTGACTGCTAACCAGAAGGCTGGTGGTTCAAACCCACCAGCCACTCCTCAGAAGGAAGATGGGGCAATCTACTTCCATAGTGATACTGCCTTGGAAACCCAAGGAGGGGTCACTATGAGTCGAGTCTGACTCAACGGCACATAACAACAACAACAGCAACAGCTCTGTTGGTCCTAGTATTGTTAGTTGGGATAAAGTTCTCCAGATCCATGACCCCCAATCCTTTTAGGCCACTGACTATCCAGGCAAACACTCATTTGTTGAAGAGTACAAATGGGGTCACCATGTGTAAATATTAAAATGTTACTAATCAAACAAAAGGAGCTCTGGTAGCATAGTGCCTAAGGCACTTGACTGCTAACCAGAAGGCTGGCGGTTCAAACCCATCAGCCACTCCTCAGAAGGAAGGTTGGGCAATCCTACTTCCGTAGTGATACTGCCTCGGAAACCCAAGGAGGGGTTGCTATGAGTCGGGGCCGACTTGACGGCATATAACAACAACAACAACAACAACAATCAAACAAACAAAATGTTAAGTTATTTTTCTTATTTTCACAATGACTGTGTAGGCCTGGTTTGAATTTATAATTCTTGGGTTCTTCAGAGTTCTTTGCTGTAATATGGCAGCATGGGGAAGCTGGCCTGTAGCCCCTGGTTGTAGCTTGCAGCCTGCTCCATTCTTTCCACATCTCTGGCTCTGTCATGCACTGCAAGGGGCTTTAAATTCACATGTGTGGATGCCCAGGTCCACACATTCAAGCTCTGGCCATACTGCATAAATTATTATCCTGGACCTGGGGAAGAGATCTGAGCAGGCCCTGAAAGCAGGACTGAGCCACTTGGAAAGGGAATTTTGGGGTCTCTGACACCTGGACGGAGGTCTAGAAGAGGGTATGTAAGAGCTCTGATGGTCTTGCTTGACCTTATTGACTGGAGCAGGGTGAGAGCCCTCTGCGTATACCATTAAGTGAGTCTCCAGACTTTGAGCACTTAGCCAGACAACTTGTGAACATCAAAGATTTCTCTTGCTTCTTAATCACATGACCCTTCATACCTTTCCTATGGGTGCCTCTCTGATCCTTCTTGGCATTTTACCACAACCATAACTTTAGTTGGAAGTAAGAGAAAAGAGTTAGAGGAAAAGGACTCTAACCCTCATTTCTCCTTTTACCTAACCCCAGCCCCATTATGATGACACAGACCTAGATGAGTGAATGTTGTGTGCAGAGATGGGAGTTGTGTTGGCATGTAGTGCTGTCAGTGTGTTTGTAGTCCTGAGCAATCATTGTGCACTAGGACATGGTTGTGTCACAGGTCCTGGGACTTTGATGATGTCTACATATAATCTAAACCATTAATTCTGAACAAAATGTGGGAAATGGAGGTGGAAGGAGAAAGGTAAAAGAACAGATAGAAAGTTGCTGTTAGAGAAGAACAACTACTGGGACATTTGCAGGGTTAAAAAAGAGGCAGTTTCATTTAGATATTTAAAAACAATCTGAGTTATCAAGAAAGAAAATGCAGTTGACCAAGATATTAACATTGAATAACTGAATTATAATAACAAATCCATATTCTAAGCTATGCAAAGCTATGCAAATATGTCTACATGACAAAAATATGTGTGAGTGGGTGACATGAATCACCAGTATTATGGAGATGATGATAATTTTGATAATGATTACATTTATTAGGTGCTTATTCTGTGCCAGGCAATATTCTAAGGGCTTTACACATATTAACTCACTTAATCTTCACAGAACCCTTCAAGAAGATACAATTAGTGGCCTCATTTTGAAGATGAGAAACTCAGGCATAGAATTTTCCAGTAACTTGGACAAGTGATATAGATCGTAAATCGCAGAGCCAGATTCTCACACTGGAACCTGTACTTCTAACCATTACACATGGAAATTGAAGTGTCCTTGTCACTAGTTAGGCTAAAGTGTCCTTTTTTGTTTTTGTTTGATTTGATTTATTTTTATTTTCTCCTGTTAGGTAAATAATAGAAGGGTGACATGTTTATCAATAACCATAGTTGATTTCTTGTCCTAGCACATCTGTGAGAAGTTTAGAGCCATCATTGTCCATGTCTCTTCCTAATTCATTCTTCTCCTACCTCTCTTGCCCTGTGGGATTGTATTTTGTCTGAGAGATCAATATTTTTCCTTGGCCCTTTTCAGATGTTAGGCTGGAATGAATGACTAAGACCCCTGAACTCTCCCTAGTGATTAAAGTATAAGATCAGACTAATTACTGAAAATGGCAGGTTATTAAAGATAATGCCTATGTTTCTTGTTAGGTGCTATCAGGTTGGCTCTGACTCAGGGCACCTTTATGCATAACAAAACTAAATGTTGTCTGGTCTTGAAGCATCTTCATGATTGTTGGTATGTTTGAGTCTAGTGTTGTGGCTATTGTGTCATTCCATGGCATTGAGGGTTCCACATCTTTGTTGGCCCTCTACATTGGCCATCTATTTTATGCACTATGATATCCTTTCCTAGTGATTAGTCTTCCCGATGACATGTCTTGCTTCCCTAATATGTCTATGTTAGGAAATAAAATCCAGGACTGAATAAAAATGCAATTACAAGAAAACTGATCAGCTGAGAAAAGCCATGACAATGAATATATTCATTGCTTATTTTGTATAACATATAAAGTAATTGCATGTCAGAGACAGTTGTATCTCCACACTACAGAAGAGTTGACAATTTTTACGGCACAGTGCCTAAGGCATTTGACTGCTAATGAGAAGGCTGGTGGTTCAAACCCACCAGGCACTCCTCAGAAGGAAGATTGGGCTATCTACTTCCATAGTGATACTGCCTTGGAAACCCAAGGAGGGTTCGCTATGAGATGCAGTCAACTCAACAGCAGTGAGTTTAGTTTCTCTCATAATCCAGATTAATCTTTCTGAAATAAACCTCTGAATATGCCATTCTCTACCTCAAAATAGTTCAGTTAGTCCCTATTTCTTATGGAATTGATTCCAAGCATTTTCAACCCTCATCAAAATGTGCCCCCAAGTTACCTTTGTCATATGAGGATTTTACTACCTTCCAACATTACTTTTAGTCTTCAAGCATAATGAAACTTGTTTTATTTACTCATCTTTTATTTCTACTTTTATTTCTTCATTTGGAAGACTCTCTCTTAATATTATCTCTGTCTTTAATTTCTAAATCTTACTCTCCTATCAAAGTCCAACTCAAGTGCTGCCATTTCCATTTACATGTTTCTAGTTTCCCAAATCAAAAGAACATCTCCCATCCCTGAATTCCTGGAACATGTATCTATTCCTCTTATTACAAGTATCTACCTTGTTTCCTAGGCCATCATCATCTCTAGTTTGCCTTCTTAAGAACAGGTTGTGTTGGGCCCAGGTTATGAAGGAGTTGTTCGGCACAAGGAATTTGCCAACACACGACAATGCAAATACAAAAGGAAAGTTTATTTGCTAGCTCAAGCTAGGGTCCCTGCTTTTGCCAACATAGTGGCCTTAGCAAAAGACCTCGTGCTCCATTACTGTCACATTTTTATAGAAAAATATGGGGTGGAGTAGCACCAGGGCAAAGGGGTACAG